TTTGAAAAATTTCTAAAAATTATTTAAAAGTACAAATTTTAAAAGTAAATCATAAAAAATAGTAAATCACTGCTTAGCTTGCAGTCTGATTCACGTCGGACTTTCATATGGAGAACTCCAGATACACGCTACCACCAAGACAGCATCATTGAAAGACACCGTTACGGTGATGTGGGATTACGTTTGGGGTGAGGGTGGAATTATATTGTGCTCCAGAACAGATCTGCATGTTAAGATCGGAACCGTCGGTGGCCACATTTATAGGGACATCATTCTGGAGAATTATGTGCGTTTGCTTAAGAATGCCATAGGCGCAGAATTTGTGTTTTATGGATGAAAATACCCTTCCTCACCTTGCAAACATTGTAAAGTAATGCTTCCATCTGAGGATATTCCTCGTATAGAATGGTCAGCATTCTCGTCTGACTTGAATGCGATATAGGTATGTGGGACATGCTTGGCCGCCAAATTGCAGCTCGTCAGGCACCTCCTACATCGGAACTTCAGAGAGCATTGCTGAGTGAGGTAATGTTCTCCTAGATCTGTTCGATAATTCGATACTCAGCATGCCTATTTAACAGTCCCTATTAGACAGATTTTTAACATTACTGATTTAAAAGTAAGTGGCATTAAGTTTTAAAGTTTTTAATAATATATTTATTGCTATTATATATTGCATATTTTATTGCTGAAGTTTATGAATGAAAATGGGGCGCTGGTAGGAATCTTCTATTAAAATTGAATTTTGTATTTATATCGGTTTTAAATATCTGTGGTGTTCTATGTTGTGAATTTGTGTTTATGGATTTTTTTTGTTTGTTTGTTTGTTGGTCTGTAGTTTTGTGTTAGATGTGCTTACTTATTTTTGATTTAGTATTTTTGTTTGTTGCTTGGGGGTGGCTGGGTTACTGGCTGCCCTCATTTGTGGAGATACGGAGCCCCTTATTTTGAGCTATCGGGACACTCGTGTCCAGGTGGGCTGAAGGGAGCCACCAATTCTTACAATTCTTACTCAGCATGCCTAAGCTTTGTACGGACTTTATTTCATCGTTTGGGTGATATGCAATATATTAGCCATCATACGAACCATGTAATGTTAAGTTTTTGTAAGGGAAACATTTTTTGTAATTGCTCCCGGGAGCAAAAATCGTAGTTTTTATGAATGGTATCATACATGCACCATTTTGTTTTGTTCATTACCTTTTGTTTAACAAATTGGGTTTATGGATCAGTCATGCTTGTTTTTTTTTCTAAACCTTTATTTGCCAGAGCTGGCATTATCTTTCATTTATGGACGTGAGTGTAATATACTGTACATTTCGGCGTACAACGCGCGCACATAATTCCAAAATATATTTTTTAGTTTTTAAGTATACTCACCATATAAAGCTCACCCTCTTCTTTACGAAGAAACCTGAAAGATATATGCGCGAGCCCCTTATCTTCTGAAGTCATTCATTCGAAGATTTTTCTCACGCTTTCGAACGATGGTATACTGAATTGACAAGCGTTAAAGGGGACAGCAATGTGTCTGGGGAAATGTTTGAGGAAGTAAATAATTCTGCAAACAAGGAACATCATTTCATGCAAGAATGTACTTCCGACTAGAATGAATTTCGCGGAATTGAGAAAGTAGGTGCATTCTTTTTCTGTAGTCATTTGAAATCGTGATTTTAAAGTGAGCACTGAAGGTGTGTATTTAATTATGGCAAAGCACACGAGGGCTATCTGCCTAAGGGGAGGGATGCCTTTCGTGGAGGACTTTCTAAGGGAAACTGGCTCGTATACACGTTACACATGGGGAAAACCACGAAAACGCCCATGCAGCCAGCCCGTTCGCGGGATTCGAACCGCGGACCGAACTACCAGTATTCAGCGAAGGAGGCCAAATGCATCAAGCCAGTCTAGAAATAGCGTCTGAGTGGATAATAGGAGAATGGAAGCAAGTTAAACCTGGCATAATTAAAAAGTAATTAAAAAAGGTTATATGTCTAACAATATAGATGATTATTTATTTATACGAGGGCTATCCAGAAAGTAGATTACGTTTTGGAATAAAAAAATAAACAAAGTATAGGAAACAAATTTTATTATATACAGATGAAAGCCACACTCAAATACTACTTTTCTACATAGTCACCATACAAATTAAGGCATTTATCGTAGCGATGTACGAGCTTGGAAATTCCTTCGTCGAAAAATTCGGCCGCCTGCGCCTTCAACCACTTCGTTACCTCTTCTTGCAGCTGTGCGTCGTCATCAAAACGCTGCATAGCCAGCCACTTCTTCATTGCTGGGAAAAGTGGAAGTCGCTCGGTGCCAGGTCGGGACTGTACGGCGGATGAGGAAACAACTCCCACTTAAAAGATTCAAGAACTTTACGAGTGACATTTGCCGTGTGGGGGCCGGGCGTTGTCGTGAATCAACAAGATCTTAGAGCTCAACATTCCTCTGCGCTTGTTTTGAATTGCTCTTCTGAGTTTTTGGAGAGTTTGGCAATACCTTTGAGAGTTTATTGTAGTGCCTCTTTCCAGGAAGTCCACCAAAATTACACCTTTTCTGTCCCAAAAAACAGTCGCCATCATCTTCCTTGCCGACATTGTTTGCATGCATTTCTTGGGTTTTTGGGGAGAACTTGTGTGCCCCCACTGCATTGATTGCAATTTCGTTTCACAGTTCACATGTTTCACCCATGTTTCGTCACCAGTAACGATGCGATCGAGTAAAGAGTCACCATCCTTATGGTAAGCGTCCAAAAAGTTCAACGCTGCAGCCATTCGCTGATTTTTGTGGTCCTCTGTCAAGATTTTTGGAATCCATCTTGCACAAAACTTGTGGTAACCAAGCTTTTCGCTGATGATTTCGTGCAACAAACTTCGCGAAATTTGTGGAAAACTCAAAGAAAGTTCCGTTATTGTGAAATTTCGATTTTCACGGACTTTAGCATCGACTTTTTCGAGAAGTTCGGCGGTCACTATGCTGGGTCTCCCACTTCGATCTTCGTCGTGAACATTGGTTCGGCCATTTTGAAATCTTATGACCCACTGACGCACTCCACCTTCAGTGATAATGTTGTCCCCATACACTTCACGAAGCTGCCGATAGATTTCTATCGGTTTACAGTTTTTTGCAGTCAGAAACCTTATTACTGAGCGCACCTCGCAGCTCGCGGGATTTTCAATTAACGCAGACATTTCAAACCGTCACAGTATCTGAACGGAGCACAGCACGAACCTCTCACTAGCACGGCTAGATGCAGACTGAGCTGCGCAACGCTCTGACCCCAAGATGGCCGCGCTAGCCCCGCCCCTAGCGGACACAGACGGAAACGTAATCTACTTCCTGGATGGCCCTCGTATATTAGAATAAGAGTGGTGGTGAAGATGAAACAGAAGTCGATGACGTGCCTGAAGATATAAAGCGAAAGAGAGCATGAAGAACTTTATATGTTGTTCAGGTTATCAGGACTTGTATTTCTCTTGATTTGATTTGTAAACATGAATGGTCCTGAATAGGAACAGGGAGCTTACTCAAGCTATGTTCAGGAAGGTGTGAAGTAGACAACACAAGCAGGAAGGGTATACGAAACCCTTTATTTTCAATACTTTACAGGTATTTCCGAAACTTCGGAATACAGAGACCAACCACTTGTGGCCTGAACGTATATCCTAACTATAACTTTCTTTCTTTCTTTTCACTATCGACGGAACAGCTGGCCCACTGGGTTAGGTACTTTTCAGCCTGTTGGATCCCGTCGATGGAATTTTAAAAATACGTGAATAAATATAAATAAAGAGTTTAGTACTGTGTCCTCGGGGATTGGCCACGAAACGAGGAACATTGAAGTGAAGACCAGAACATGGAAAGAAGGTGCATGGTGGGGACTGCACCTTCTTTCCATGTTCTGGTCTTCACTTCAATGTTCCTCGTTTCGTGGCCAATCCCCGAAGGACACAGTACTAACTCTAACTAAAAACTAACTTTGAATTAGTATACAAATGCCTAGCACTAAGATTGGCCTTTATTTACGAGGTAAAAAAGGTACGTATGTAGTACGCCGAGCTTCTAAAACTACGATACGTCTGCAATTATCAAGAGGGCTAAACCTCTGGCCTTAAAGGCAACCAGCAACAGAGTGAAAACTCGTAAAACTACTGTGGCAAGCGGCTTGCTTCCTATAACTCCTTCCTCTCTCTCTTGGCAAAAAGCCACAACTTAAGTACTTGGCGTTAGCAAGACAATTTTCATAAATAAGTTAAAGCATTTAATTCTGGCCGGAAGTAGAAAATAAGAAGTGATAGTACAGTTTTAAAATAAAATAAACGTTAGTAAAACTTAGGATCCTTACAAGGTAAGGAAACTTTTTAAGTTCATAAGGAATGTCAGTTCTTTAAAATAAGCAGCATTTAGGTACGTGTAGAAATCTAACTTTTGTATACCCATCTTTTCTTTATTTTAAAATCTACCTTTTCTACATCCAGCGTATTCGTACACTCGTAGATTTCGATTTTATATTTTCTATCAAACGTGCGAGCTGTTTCAGAATATACGGTACGTTATAAAACGTATATTAGTTTTCACGACATAAATAGTCCATAATTTAATCAAGGAGAAATCGGAACCCAAGGAGACTGAATTTGTGATAACATCAAAATTCAAGTGATCTTTATGTACCTAAAATGCCACAAAAATCACTTAATCTCCGACACCATGTGCTACATTTTGCTGCTTTTAGAATCTTTCCCTATGGCCTTCAGGTCAAAAATGTTCTGACAATATCGCACCTAACAGGATCGGGAGGAATGAGCTTGGGCATGCGTAGGTTTGCCTTACTTGAAATTCTTATTCTCGAATAAAATATCACGTCCATAAATTAAAGATAAATTCTTATTCTCGAATAATAATATGTCTCGAATAAAAATCAAATTCGTACAGCATACTACAGTAATTATCACGATAAGTTTGTGATTCTTAAGGAAACTACATAGAATAAGACAAACCTGTAGTGTTCTAAGGTAATCTTTCGTCCTCTTGCCTGATCCGTTTGCAATGTCGAAATTTTCTCCACCGTCGAAGGAAGCAGATCTTTTTCCCAAATTTTTGAGAATAATATCATTTTGCTGGATCTGCTTTTCGTTCTCTTGCATTCGTCTTCGGGCCATTTCCAGCATCAGGCGTTGCCTCAGAACTTCAATGGGATTGACAATGGACAGAGAATGACCATTTCTTTTGGCTTTTGGCATATCTTCGTCACTCACGACGTCGTTATCAGCACCACTGTGACTGTTTATCGAGTCGCTAGAATCTGAATAAGTAAAAAAAAAAAAAAGTCTTTAGTTAAATTGCCTAAAATTATATTTAAAAAAAAACGTAGAAAAAAAAAAGATAAATGTTTCATACAATTTAAAGGTAAAGGTAGTATTGTAATCACGAGAAATTCCGACTGCCATATTTCAACGAAAATATCAATTTTGACCGCTCTCGAATTTGTATAGACGACTTTTTTGCGTGACGTCTGCACTCATGGGCAGAACAAAGGAATATTTTTTTCAAAACGGATTGTAAAGTGGATTTAAAATGGATTCAGAACGGATTGTTTTCGCGAGGTCACGTACGTATGTATATATCTTGTACAATACAAAAAAAGATCAGCTGTACAACTTTCAGATTTTGTATACGGGACCGCTTTAACATCTAGTTGTGCACCTACTTTTTTTCTTCCAGTTGGTTGAACCAAACTATATATATATGTAATAAAAATATTTCATAGGCAAGAATACACTTAAAATTCTAACTGTATGTTCTTTTTAATTTTTAATGGCGACGGTCTCTTATTTGAAAGTACGTGTTATTAAATCCACAGCCCCGTAGTCAAGTTGTTTTTCCAGCCTTTTCTACACGTACAGTTATAGAATGTTCTGGAAATATTTAAAGCGAACTGGATTGGCTGACGAGGCTGACGTCATTTCTTGGAAGCTCCGCCTTTCCAGAGGCTATAAAATGACTCGCAAAGGAATATCGGGGGTCTTTTCTTTAATGTAACGATGCAGTAAACTTCATACAAAAAGTTATTAGTAATTCTTTTTATTTACTCCGGAGATCTTAATTTTTGTAATTGCTATTTCCCCTGAAATATAATAAATGGATCCTGTTTTTCAAACTTATCGTCTTATAATTTAAGCTACGACTACATCTATGATTCTTCACCAATCTATTTATTCCGGACTAAAGCTGGTACATTACATATATATATATATATATATATATGTATATATATATATATATATATATATATTAATAGAAAAAAGAAAATGTAAAGCGAACTGGTAATTAGACGAAAGACCTATCTGGTCTCAAAAACTTTTGCGCATAATGCTGCAAAAAGATTTGAAAGAATAGTAGTAGGTAGGAACATTGCAGCAACCTTGCTAAAAAGTTACCAGGAGCTGTAGCTCCACGAAATGTTGTAACATAGTACTACAAAGACAATAAGAAATTTGCCTGGTAAAACTGGAAAAACTGTATAAGCGCGATAAAATTGCCAATTTTTAGTGCTGGAAGACTTGCTATTGCACGAAAAAAATTAATTAATCTGACCGTTGTGTAATGTGAAAAGTTAACTCACATGAAAAAAGATGGACGGAAAAAATATATATATATATCAGGAAGTTACAAAAACATGGATTATAAATGTCAATAGATAAAATGTCTATATATAAAAAATTAAAATTAAAATTGCCAATATATAATATGCCAATACATAAAAATTAAAATCAAAATTAAAAAAAATAATAAAAAGACACAAAAAGCATCTAAAACTATCTACAAAAACAATAATTAAATAGCGGAAAAATGGTATATTAGAATAGTTTTGTATATATACTGAATACAATATATATACAAAACTATTCTAATATACCATAATACTAATGTACATAGAATTGTTTTATATATATATATATACAAAACAATTCTTTTGAAAACAAAATATAAACGTGTCTAGTATTTTCGCACATTAAGCAGCAGAAAAATCATCAATAAAGACATAAAGTAAGAAATTTAGAATTAATATTTCACAAAGACCAGAAATTGAAATTCATAATTAATAAATTTGAAATAACCATATAAATGCAACAAAGAATTTAAAAATGTTAAATCCAAAACATTTCATACAAGCAAAACCCCACTTCAAAAAAATAATGAAATCTAAAGAAAAATGAACAAAAACAGAAGAGGAATTTAATCGACCTCAATGCCACTTCATCAGATGGAAGGATTTGAAATCAATTGAAATCTCTCTTCTACAAAAATGCTTGCTTTTCTGTATCCAGAATTAGCCAATGGACCATTTCAATGTATTTGAATTATAATTATAATATTTCAACCGTAAATTTGCGCCCTTCCCCAAAGCAAGGAAAAAAACAATGTAAATTCTAATTAGAATAATCTTAAATAAAGACAATTCTACTTTTTTAAAAGAATTGAAAACGAAAGTGAAAATACAACATACTTCAGTGAAAAATTTGAAATCAAAATGCTTATCTTTAAACAGACAATCCAATGAATTAAGGTATGAGTGAATTCATAAATCATAGTTGAAAAAAACCTAATTAGAACACACATAAATAATTAAGAACTTCGATCACTCTCATTAGACACCAGTCTAAACATGTAATGCGAAACAGTAAGGGACGTACAGGTTTTCCCACTGTTTCGCATAACTTATAAGCTTATATCAAGCGTATTATTAACACCAAAAGCTATATTTTTGGATTACAGTCAAAAGTCGTTAATCCGGACTCGTCGGGACTTCGACGATTCCGGATTATCGATTTTTCCGGATTATAGATCATCAGTTTAAATCTCGTAAGATGGCATGCAGAAATTCTAAAATTAAAAATATGAAACCGTAATTTATGAAATAAAGAGCAATTATGATCTAAAGAGTATCAAAATTTACAAAAAAAAAAAAAAAAAAAAAAAAAAAAAAAAAAAAAAAAAGCTTAATATTTATTTGTTTACTTTATTAAACATTTCTTTCCATGTAAGTTGTTTAAGTTGCTTCGTTTTATGTGATAATACTTTCTCTTTAATTCTATAAACGGACATAATTTTTTGTTCAATTACAAAGTTCCGCTATTCAAGTCCCGTTAATTGCTGTGCCGAGAATACCGACTAACTTGTCAATCGAAATTTTTTCGTTTTCACTAACCTCTCTGTCACATTCTTCATGTCTTTATCCATTTTTTGCAGCAATTCCACTTTTTGTTTGTTGCACATCGAAACATACTTTCGTTTCGTAGAACCTTTGGAAGTTCCGGCATCGGAAATTCTATTTGACATAATCGAAAGTCAAGTTTACTTTTATAAAATTGCTCTTAGAGTCTGCAAAAAATAATAAGCCGGATCTAATTCGAAGGTTAAGGAACAACGCAATCATTAACATTAACTGAAATAGGTAATTTTAGCTTAGACCGTCCGTTATACATTAAACGCGCAGGCGAAAACGTATTCTGCACTTGCGCACACGCATATGCGCAGTAGTCAAGGTCTTACGCGCACGCGTAAAACGCCTGTGCGCATGTGCCAACGCGGCGCATGCGCAGAAAGTTTTTAGCTTTGAGGTCCGAATTATAGATCATTCCGGATTATGGGTGTCCGAATTAACGACTTTTGACTGTATAACTTTTTGATAATTAAGAAAGAGCATTTCAAAACACACACACACCAAAAAAAAAAAAGAAAAAAAATGATAATTGGAATTGTGTTGATCCACGGTAGGGTCACAAAGTTAGGCAAAATACACTATATTTTAATGAACGTCACAAGTATGCGTGGACGAGTTAAGTTGTATCTCGTCGGAATCGAGTTGGTTGCCCGAAAGCGGAAATGGTTAAAAAAATTCGTGAGGCATTTTTACGAAATACCACAAAATCAAGGCTTCGGGCGAGTTCTGAACTCATTGTGCCTCAATGCAGCTTCATTGTAACAGGTATTTCAATCTAAATTCATATGAACTCATTGTAACAGGTGACGTGAGTTACGGTGACGTTTACAATGCCGGCCATACAGCTTTCAGATGGCGGAGGCGTAAAAAACTTTCTGATAAACCGTTGCGTAAAGCTTTCTGTGAGAATATGCAAGATAAGTTGCAGGTAGATGGTTTTGAGAATAGACTCGTGTTTGCGGCTGAAGCTACTTTTCAAGTTTCTGGCAAAGTTAATCGCCATAATTTAAGATTTGGGGGCCACGGAAAATCCTCACGGTGGAAGCGTGATTCTGCGAAGGTGAATCAATATTTATCTTTGCAGAATCACGCTCACCATTCAATCTGAGCCATTTCCAGCAACTGTGCTTTTGATCCCTTTTTCTTCGTGAAAAAATTTATTAACCCCTTGACATACAATGACGTCAGGGAGACGTCACTGATTTCTTGTGTCACTGTAGAGTTTGACATCAAGAACTGTCTTCTGTGAACAAACACTGCGCAGTATATTGTTATTAGTATATAGCAATGTAAATTTGAATATAAACGTTCTGTTTCTAAGCTTGCACACAGGCAGATAGCCCCTGTGTGCTTTGCCATAATTAAATACACCACCACCACACCTAAGCTTGCACATGAATGTCCAAATTAAATGGTATTCTTCGGACACGTATTTTATTTGTATGTCAAGGGGTTAAAGGATGCATTTACCAATATATGCGATCAAAGTGGTTGTTCCCTCAGTTGAAGGAAGCCGTTCCGGCTTCATTCTGCAACAAGGTGGTGCTCGATCAGTAGCTGAACGATAGTCTACCCATTGCTGGATTGGCAGTACTGATACGATATGCCATTCGCCGCCATACTGGCCACCGACATCCTCAGATCTAACCCCTTATGATTTTTTCCTCTGGAATTTTTTTAAAGACAGAGTATATGTGCCTCTATTTCTCCAGGACTTACAGAAACTGAAACAGTGGATAACTGAAGTTTTTGAATCATTAACAAAGGATATTGTATCACGAGTATGCAGGAACTGGAATACCGCATAGATATTTGCCATGTAAGCGGAGGTGCACACATAGAACATCTATAGAAACTATAAACTATAGCGTTACTGTAAATTTGATTTATCAAAATAAAGTAATTACAAAATAAGGATTTTAAGTTTTACTAACATTTATTTTATTTTAAAACTTTGATATCCTCTCTTAATTTTCATTTCCGGCCAGAATAAGCACAAGTACGATTTTTATGTTAATGAGTTTGCAATGTGTATAGGTATTTAAGAAGTGGCTTCTAGCCAAGAGAAGAGGAGAGCC